TGTCTCTATACAGGCATTTTTCTGACAGCACATCTCTGTAGGGATTCCTGGGGCATTTAACCAGCTTTTCCTGGACCTGAGCCTTTCCCTGCCCCTGGCTCATGCCCAGTAGGATCACAGGATATTTTTAAGTGCCTAAACCCCCTCTAACCTTAGTGATTTGAACCAAGTGCCACTAACTGTCTCACATGTCCCAGCAGTCTTGTCGATGTCTCTTGTTTACTTGCACAGGGGCTGGAGGAGAAATAAGTTGCTTCACCCCAGATTCACCTCAGCATGCTGCAGCCCTCATGTCTTACTGGTGCTTTTATTGGTGTAACTTGGCCTATACCATTCACTTCAGTCTCCTGTTGGTGCTGAGTTGATGAGTGGGGTGTCACTGCTAGGGGACAAAATCAGTAACTGTGACACTGCTTGGCAACGTCTCCTGTGGATTCCTCATTCAGAATAAATAGAGTACAGAGTAAAACACTCCCTGGGTCTGCATGCTATTTCTCTGAGGAAGAGGATCAGTTGTTTCCTCAACATCTTTGCCCACAAGCTCAGTGCTGAATTACCAAAAGGAAGTGGTTTGTGGTCTGTAATTTCAGCTTTTGCAGAATTTGCTCATTCCACCTTGGTATCAGCCTTCAGCCAGCATGTTGAAAGCATCACACTTTTTGCAGTTCCTGTCTCGGGCCCAAGGAAAGGAGATTCTGCAGAAATGAAAATGTCAAAGGAGGGTTAATGCTTCATTTTCATAAATGTCCCCAGGACCTACAGGGCATTTGTAATGCCTGTAATGTAAAGACGTTCTCCATGGGAGTGAAAGCAATGCTTATATGCAAAAATAGGGTGAAGAAACCAAACAAGTTGCTTTGCTTAAGCTCTAGCAGTAAACAATGAGTGGGGGAGATGGATGTACTGGAATTTATGTGCCTCACTATTTTGAGATGCTTTTCTTGTGCCAGAGATTGCACTACTACCCTGATTCCTGAATACTCGGCTCTAACAACAGGACAGCTGGGATCAGTCAGGATGGTCACAGCAAGGAGATGAGGAGATACTGGCAGATGCTTTGTCCAAAGCTATCTCCAAAATGGGTTTGACCCAAACATGCTGCAGGACCAGCAGTTACTGGATTTTTGAGTGACTCAGCTGCAGCACCCCAATGTTTCCCTCAGACCCAGCACCTGCCTCTCCAGGATTCACTTTGCTTATTCAGCTACACAAGCCACAATAGAATTTCTGAACCACAGAAATAATCCAATGCAGCTATTTGCTACACTTTCATATTTATTGCAAAAACAAAATAAAATCCACGTTCTCCATCAGCTGTACCAATGAATTCCCAAGTAAGCTCATAGTGAAATTGATTCACTGGTTGATTTTGCACAGAAAAAGGATGTTAGAAACCTTAAACACATAATCACACATGGAATTTTATATTAATATGATTTTACCAACTATACTATTAGTAACCTTATATTAATAGAGTATCAACCCAAAAGTATATCAAGAGAGTGACTAGAAAAAATAAGTAATGCACAACTCATCATAATCTCTGATTAACTAAGCTGCAGCAATCTGATTTTGTAGGTCAGGTTTTCTTTGAAGTCTATCAGCTCTTCAGCCGTGCTGCACCTATTTTGTATTAGCATGAAAAAAAAACAAAAACATGTATTAGCATGCTTTTGTAATGCAGTATTTGGGGCAAGTTCCTTTCACAGGGGGCAAAAAGCACATGAATCTGGCTTCTCAGAAGCTGATGCTCAGGCACTGGTTTCCCATCCTGGTCTTTACAGGTCACTTTAAAGATTCTTTTTTCTTGCACTACGTTTGCTCATTTCTTCCAAACTACCTGCATTAAAAAACACCACAAAACAACAGCAACAACAAACCTAGAAAACAGCATCTTTGAATGCAGTGTTTCCTGCCTGTTCCTGGTATGAGTGGATCTGTTTGGCCATAAAAACACTCATGAACTTATTCACTGTCTCTTCAAAGTCTCCAACAGAAATGTACAGACAACACCAAATTAAATTAAAAGCTACAAGTTCCAGTGCACAAAACCCTGTTTGGTGTAAGCCAAAAGGCTCATTGGATTGATGTGGTAAGCAGAGAAGGCACTTGGATGGCTGTTTTATAAACTATGTCCTCTTCTTGCAAATCCAGTTGTAGAAGGATTGAATAACAGCCTGTCCTATCTAAATACCTGCTGGCACAAGCTCATCTTACCTGGGTTGATTTGCACTGAAAAGATAGCAAAGAAGGTGGGTGAAATCAATTTTGGCAGCTCAGAGGTGGGAATGGTGATGAGTAGAGCTGGAGGAAGAATTTGCAGAGCTCCTGGGCTGATTTCCAGGGATGTGAAGGGGCTGTCTGTGGAGCAAGGGCGCTTCTCCAGCACAGGCAAGCAGCAAGAAGCGTTATCAGCAGAAAGGCCAAAATTACTTGTGAGTTACAAGATAAGGTAGTGATTTAAGACTGCTACAAGGTCTGGAGCAGAAACCGTTTTATACTTATGTCCAAATTCATTTACTTCTTTCTCCAGCTGCTCTTGGATCATGTTCCTAACATCACTGTAGTAGAACTCTAAGCTGGTGAGGTGACAGCTGTGTGAGGATATTGGGCATCACTTACTGCCACTTTGATTACAAATGACTGCTGGAAAAGGATCTCCCACATCCCAGATCGGCTTATAGAGTCAAACCTACTTTGAAAAACTATAATGTAGTTAATCAAACTTCCTTTCCCCCCTCCATTTCTCTTGCATGAAGTAAGACTTTGATCTACAGCACTAGAAGCCAAAGCCAGGATTCAAAATCCTTTCTTTGGCACCTACCCAGTGTCTTCACATCAAAGCACTGAGCGTGCAACCGCTGTCAGCAAGGTCAGGAGTCAGACTAAATCTGACATTTCTGAATTGCTAGTCTAGAAAATAGCACATAAATTCTAAGCAAAAAATCTTCTCTCTGTTTATTGTCTTTTACCAAGCTCCAGGAAGCCTTTGTTTTCAACACATGTGAAATGTCAAGGCAAAAAAAAAAGTGTCTGAAACACTGGGGATTCATGCAACTGCAAAGGGCTAAATAAGCAGCTGGATGTGTAATTTTTACGTGCTCCTTTTTGAAACTCGGGTGCTGTTATTAAAAAAAAAAAATAGTCCAAGGAGGGCTAACATGGCTAACCTAAACTGCAGGAACACGAAGTTAGTTGGAAAGAAAGTTTTAGATATAACATGCTGTTACATCAATTTAGGAGCACACACGTCCCTCCAACATGTGAACCTGAACACCTATACCAAACCAAATTATAAGAAACATCCCACCAAGCCAGGGCTAAAGTAAAACACTATTACCAAAGTAACTTTAAATACTATGCTTTTAATTTCATTCAATTCAAGCAACTTTTCTAATAGGGTAAGTGCTGCTTAGCTAAAATACACAGCAACCCAAGCATTTCAACAGCTTCTGCATTTCCCTGTCTCTTGAAGCTCTGCCTAATGAATCAGGAAGTTTATTTCTCAAAGGTATCACTGCTACAAAGGAAGTATCCAGCAACACCACACGTCCATTCTGGGAGAATCCAACTTCATCCAACTGTATTCAGCCCAGCAGAATGAGCACAGCCTGCCCCAGAGGGCAGTTCCAAAAAAGGCGTGGGAAGGAATGAGGACTCAAGTCTCACCAGGTGGGACAACTGCTAAGTTTAGATCATCTCCGAGGTCGTTGATAGGTTTGTTCAGAATGAGGCAATTTTAGGCCGAAATCCATAGGCAGAAGTGCATAAATTTTTAAAAACAAAGCTAAACTTCTTTCTTTTCTTCTCTCTCCTAGCTATAGTAAGAGAAATTCAGTCTTGAAACTGGGAATGACACCTGTAGCTCTTCTCTGTGGTCACAGCTCCCTCTGCAGTCAACCCAGCTCCACCAGTGATGCCAGACAGGGAAGTCTCCATGAATCTTGTGCTGTGAACCAGACAGAATACACCAAGTTCTCACGAAAAACAGATGGAAAGGACTCAGCAAAGTCAGCAGAGGTATCTCCAACCCACTGGAAATCATTTACCTGGGCCCATGCTCTCCACAGGAGCTCATCAGTGCCAGGGTTATAGAGGGCATGGGGAACCAGGACACCCAAAATCACATGCTGAGCTGGGTGGGTGTCTGTCCTAAGTGACCCCACATCAGATTTCTTGGTGGTGTGGCCAAACCAGAGGCCGCTGAGATGACATGTCTGTCTCCAGGTGGGAACCACAGCCCAGACACCTCACTCCATCACCAAGGGTGTAGGACCAATAATTAACTGCTCAAACCTCACCTTCTTTAAAAAACAAACAAGAAAACCCAGAGATGCTGCACGAAGATAAAGAATCACAAAACAAGGCAGAAGGTGCCACAAGAGCCCATCACTGCAGCCTTTGGTGCTGTTTTAACACCTTTTTTGGATGGACTGGGGGGGAGCAGAAACAAGCTGAGGGTTGATGCTTTGCACTGGGGTGTTCAATGACATCCCCACTGCCAGTTTCTGAGCAGCAGCAATGACACAACACAGCCCTTGAGTGCAGTTTCACTCTGATTTATTCTTTATTTCAAAAAATAGATTCTGAAAGTGAATGAATCTTTCAGAAAGTAAGGAGAAATACTGTGAAAGGCAAGAGGATCATTTCAGTGTGCATCACTCCACTCTGCCACCACTGTGTCCTGGGGAGCATCCAAACAATTCCTCAACTTGGAAGCAGCAAAAGGCACTTTTTCCAGACCTGCCAGACTCAAAGGATTCCCTCACTTCACACAGCCTTGGATCAGTTGTGTAAGGCCAGTGGGAGGCTGCTTTGTTGGCCCAGTAGCTCCCAACACTGTCAGACTCATATTTCACCTTTGCCAGAGCTGCTTGGTCAGGTACGATGCCACACCAAGCCATGCTTGAGGAACTCTACCAGCAATCATAATCCTGTCCATAAATCCCATTATTCTCTGTGAGTGCTGCTTTCTCTTTAGCCACTTACACCACTGATTCTGCTGGTACCAACACCTACATCTTCATCAGCTACACTAGTAACTCCCCATATCACTGAGGGCTTGTGTGGAACTCAAGATTTTTTTTTTAATAGGAAAGGAAGTTGGAAATGCTGAAAATTCTTACATAAAATCTTACATTGGTTTAGCATCATTCTAAAGGTGTGTCATGTTAAAAACTTCTAAGCAACAAGAATGTAAACACCAAGAAAATCAAGGTGTTCTTTCACAACTTTGATTCTTCAATTGCCTAAGACACCCGCAGCAAATCTGTTTTTCTAGGCTAGGTTTCCTCTGACATACATCAGCTGTCCAAGCTCAGTGCAATTATTCTGAATTAGCATAAAACGATTTTGCAATGCAGCATTTGGCTAAGTTACCATTACAGAGGTCAACAAAGGGAATTCTGCCTGCCCAGGCAGGGTCTGTGCTCTTCCCTCAGAGTTCATGTTTTCCATCCTGCTCTTCAGAGGTCTTCTACAGGTTGATTCTTTTCCCTCGCACAAGCCGTGCTCGGAAGCTCCAAATATCCTTCAAAACAAAAATGAGACAAAGGAAAAGCATCTTGAGGGCCAGAAAAAGCAGTGACCAAGTTTCCAGTTCACAGAGGTGGAAAGAGAGGATTACTTATTTCTTAACATCTTGTGAAGGTGTAATAAGTCCTGGGTGCTCCTCTGGGAGAAAACCAACTCCAGCTAAAAACAAAGCCTTAAAGCTACATGAAAACACAGAGACTCCTCTGGGACTTGTATGAACAACCTCATTTCCACTCAGGAGAATGAGGGAGCCTCACTACACATCCCTTCGGATTTCACCAAGCACCTAAACAGCTCCAGGAACTGAAAGCCAAGCAAGCTGTGGCTTTACAGACATGAAAAATCAGCTTGCAAAACACAGCTGGATACCCACCACACCCAGGCACACTGGGGGGAAACACAAACACACCAAGTGTGAAAATGTCCCCCCGCCTCCAGAAAGCCCCAGATATTGTAAAACATGTACATTTTAAAATAAAATTGCTGCTTTTACATCTAGACTTTACTGCCTTGACACTGGCTTTGCAGACGGAAACTGCTGCGGATTAAGATATTCAGAATATTTTCACCCCAGTAACAAGGTTTATTTTTCTTTCAGTGGCTGGATCCCTGAAGAATTTACATTTGTTTTCTATTTTACTCAATGGTCTCAGTTATTCAGCAAGAGTCCATTAGTCCCTTTTTTTTTTTTTTTTAGGCAGGTGTGTATCACTGCTGACAAACCTGCTGTAGCCTTGAGTGTAAACAACTGATAGCCTTGAGTATAAACAATTGATATGGGATTATATTTAAGCAAAAAAAACCCTCATTTGTTACTGCAATCAGATATGGATACTTGTTTTAAAAGGAAAATCCACCCACCATTAAAGGGGAAACTGTAAGAACTGTGGGCATATAAACTGGGAAAGCACTGGATTTATTCCACCTTATAGTTTTGAATTCAGGGCAAATGACCACATTTTTTTATTTACAAGCAAAGATTCAGAAGAAATTTCTGTAGCTCAAGGGATGTGAAGAGGCTGCCAGAGAGCAAGACATTATGAGGAAAAGGGCCCCAAAAAGGCTGGCCAATCATCCTCTGAACATCAGGTCTTTTATCCTGCCAAGCACCTCTGTCTGTACAGCCTGATCTGCCAAACCAGGCACAGCAAAGAGCACCAATCTGCCACACGAGAGACTCGGGAAAGGGAACTGACCTGGTCTGTAACAAAGGGCACTGAGCCTAGTCTCACCTTCAGATCCACAGAAGTTGCATCGTATTTCTTGTAAACCATTTCCTGCAGCTCCTTCTCCAGGTGCTCCTGACTCGTGTTTTTGACATCAATGTAGTGACACTCTGAGCTGGCGAAGTGGCAGCTGATGCTCTGTGTGAGGAAAGTGGGCATCACTCACTGTCACATCGACTGCAAACAACTGCTGGAAGAAAACCTCATGCATTCCAGATTGTGGACACAGCACTCCTTCCTCACAGATCATGTCAGCAAATTCCTTCCTCTTTTCCAAGCGCTCTGGAGAGCATCCCCTTGGAGAAATACTCTTGCTGCTGACACGCTCTTCTTCCTTCCCTTCTCCCCCTCACTCCCTCAGCATGAGTTGTACTACTTGATCTCAGAATATCAGCAGCTGGAGTGGGAATAGGGAGAGTCAGGGCTGAGAAAGACCTGTGTGTTCTGTAAGGGCTCTTAGTTCCTGCACACAGAGTTCCTGCACCCACTTATTTTGAATCCAATAAACTGCCACAGGGGCTGAAAAAACAGGCCACACAATACGCAAACCAAAATAAAAATAGAGCAGTGCTGCAGTGGCTGGATGAATCCCTTCTGAGACAGGACCAGGCCTCCAAAGGAAGGCACTTTTGCCTGTTGCAGTTAAATAATTATGCATGTCAACAAATCTTTTATAGAAAAATGTTGTGCAATGATACAAATAAAATATTATTTATTGAATGAATGATGGAGTCTCTTGTTATCCAGAGATGGGATACCAAGAAGACACGGAAAAAAAATTAGGGAAAGTCCTGATATCTGGGACAGCTGAAAGGGAACGTTCAGAAAAGCAACAGCCAAACAGGCTTTAATTTAAACATAGACTCAGCATCTAATTTCTGCTCCTGTTCTGTTTTTCTCAAGCAGCTGCACAGCATGCTCTTCTTACAGAAGACAGATGTTTAAAAATAGAATAATAAAAAACCAAGAGAGTGCTGAAGTATATTAGAAAGATAAAAACTCTTTATAATATTCATCCACATATTCATGAAATGAGAAAGGATTCAAAGGGGGTGCAGGATAAAAACAGAAAGAGGAATAGTTGGATAATTTTTTTTAAAAAATCAAGAATATTAGAAAACTATATTGAGAGATGTTTTCCTACCTTTCTGAAACCTGATGTCCTGTTTATCCCAGAGCCATGAATGAGTAGGGGATGGAAGAACACTGTGTCTCCCTTATCCATGACAAGGTGAACCTTGGGAATCTTCTCATCCTCATCAAGCAGCCCATGGAAAAGTTTGTTGGTTTTACCCTAGGAAAGAAAACGGCTGAATTTAAATCACTCAGCTAAAATTAGAGGAAGTGCTGATTCTCAGAGCACAGTAAGGCAGTAGGGACAGCTATGGATCTGCTTTCCCCTGGAGAGAGTATTCCATATGCCAAGCTAAAAGTCTGACTATTGCCTACCTAGTCCTTCTACCTCAAGCCTGACGTACAGAAAAATGACACCTTCTGTATTTTCTGCAGCTGCTTTGGACAAAGACATTCTCAGTTGCAGAGAAGAGAGAAGAGCATTGGGAAACCCCACAAGGGTGGCCTGATGCAACTGCTGGAGTCCAGTCTTCTGCTCCTGGTATAACCATCACCAAAGACAGTCCAGGCCAGGAAACACACACTCTTAAGAGCAAGATACCACTTGGTATTTTATTCCATCCAGTTGTTAACTGTCAGCCTTCTCCTCTTTGGGACAGTGCACATGCTACCAGGCAGGAACAAGCTGACAGGAGGAGACAGAGCCCTCAGACTTGGCAAGGGCAGTGGAAAACGCTGGTATGTGTTTATGCTGTCATGCCACAACGTGCTGGACATTTTCTAGGTGAAGGTGAGAACAGAGGCAAATCTACCCATGTCACACAGAGTGAGGTCACCCAAGAAACTCTCTACCAAATCAATGTCAGTATTTGTATAAACAGGAAAGAAAAAAAAAATCACTGAAAACCTCAGCTTTGACCTGCATATCCTCCCCCTACAGTGAGTGAGTCCTTCCCAGCCAAAAGACATCCCCTTCCTGCATGCCCTTTCCAAGCCCTCCATGACACTCTACCTCCAGCTCTGGATAACCATGAGGCTTCAGGGTTGTCTTGTGTGTCCCTGGCTGCACGACCAGGCAGCCATTGTCCTGGTGAGCCCTCTCCATGGCAGTCCAGGCGCACACGATGCGGGATGCAGGCCGGAACGGGAAATAGTGCAGGTCCTGATGCATGGGGTGCAGGAAAGTCTGCTTGTCTGCAACACATGTTCAGAAGGCTTCAGCCTCATCAAACGTGACACAGCCTTTTCTTTCCTGGTAAACCACTGCAGCACATCCTAAGGAGTACTTGGTGTATTCAGTGCCTGCTCCAGCCCAGCCATGGAAGCCAAGCACGTGAGCTGCCATCCCACTCCAAAATGGACCACGGTGGTGGCTCTTGGGTCACACAGAAAGCCTCTGTGACCCCTCAGAAGGTTCCTTTTGCTGGCCTTCACCACCACCACCACACATTTTCATCACTCATTTTGGCTGCTCTCCAGTTATGAGAACTTTAACCAGCACAGTGTTGCACAAACCTCCCCAGCACAAAGACCTTCCAACAGCTGTGCTGTCTGCAGGCACTGGATGTACTGCTGTGATGCAAGCAGAATCAACCCTGTCTGTGTTGCACCCTGCTCATGTTTATTTAGCTTTCTCTTTTTAAAGAGGAAAAAAAAATCTCAATTTATGGATTGCAGCCTCCACAGAGAGTCTCTGCCCTAGAGGCTCTCTTCCATGAAGTCTAAACAAAAATAAATATTCTTGAAGTTTTGCTTGTTATTTTTCCCCCATGGAAATGGAAACATCATCCACACCAAAAGAGCCTTTTATATATAATTTATATACTTATTTTGCCATTGATTTTGCTCCTTAAATAGATACAGTTAGGACATTTCTACTTGCCTCATTTGCCATACTATTTAGACTTTGTGCAGCCTCAAAAACTCTCCTGTGTTTTCTCATGTTGTATCATTAAACCAAGGTAAAAAGAAAACAAACTATCACCAAAAGAACTTCGTAAATTTTCAATGTCATTTGGGTTTAATTTTTTTTACAGCTTTTCTAAAATACTAAGTTCAACTCTGGCACACAGTAATTTATCCATTTTCCTCTAATCCAAATTTCCTTACCAGAATCTGGAAGTTTATTTATCAGCATGGTGTGCATTGCCATGATGTTTGGCCCTGTGAAGCACTCAACATATTTGAGGACCTACAAGGAAGAAAACATTAGAAAAAAAGATTAGAAACGTGAAAAACAAGAGGAAATATTGCTGAGGAAGCACTGGGAGCTGGATGTTTGGCTGAGGGCAAGGGTACAGGAGGAGGAGGTAGGGGGATGCAGGACAGGAGGTGGGATCTGGCACGGCACACATATGGGAATGGTGGGAGGAAGAGGGAAGTTGGTGCTGCAGGCTGCTGGGAGGGTGGAAAAGATGGGGATGGTATTCCCACAGAGCTGTATCTGCCACATGAATATTGGCTGCAAGGCTGGACCTGCCCAGGGACAGATGTTTGCTGGATAAAACACATTCAGAACATGTTGCTGATCTGTCCCTCTAGCCTGGCATGGTTTGGCCAAGTCACATTCCTGACTGGCTCCACACCAAGGGCAGAGCAGCACTGCTTTAAATCTTCTGCCCCAACCTCCATCCATCCCCTGTTCATGCAGAACACTCTTAAAAGCCGACCTGATCTTTCCTCACTTGTGTGTTTATGGGAATGACCTGCAGGGTCAGATACCTTCATACATGTTCTTCCACCACCACCACCACCCTTTCTTTGTTTTACCTCTGGCAGAGTGCAGTATCTGAACAGCTCTTCATCTTCCTGGAAGTCCTGCACTTTATTAACCACTTTTTCAGACTGCCCGAACTGGGATCTCAGGGACTCATCTTTCATAATCATAACTCCTGGTGGCTTCACCTCCCTTTTACAGATCCTCGTGAACTCCTTCCTGTGAACCAGAGGGAACGTCCATGTTGGAAGAGCCCAATGATCTCCAGCTTCCCAGAGCTCCCCCCAGCACGTCAGACAAGTGCCTCATACCTGAAGCGCTCAATGTCCTCGTCAGAAACGAGGTTCTTGATGAGCAGGTACCCATTGTCTTCATAGAACTGCCTCTGCTCTGTGGTCAGCAGATCGTTGTCCAAGGTGTAGCTGGGACACAGAGGAACACATTAACCATGTCTAGTGACCAACACGTGTGCTTGGGGGAAGGAAGAACTGAATTCTGAAGGCAGCTTCACTTTTATCTCTACCAAGGAAGATGGAGCTTACCAAAACCTCCCTGAATGAGGAACAGCACTGACTTGGGCTGAAGTAGGAATGCTTATCTGGGGTGGGAATTAAGGAATATACAAGCAAGCAAAATAGATTAGAATATTATCTACAGGCATGAGTCCTCTATCCTGCAATGCTGTTCATCTTAAAGGCAGTTGCTGTGCTGGACACTTAACCCATGTTCTTGTTAATTTTGCTTTTATAATAATAAATGATAATAAAGAATATGCTAAAAATTAAAATAATCTAAAACAATAAAGCAATAGGAATAAACCTGAGGTTTCACATTCTCATACAGTGTCACAAACCCTCACCTTCTCTCCAGTTACTGAGGAGATCAGGTCCCTCCTAAATGACAGGGGCAGAAGAGAGGAGGGCTTTAGGCTTGTCCTCCACTTCAATTCATTTCAACAGGTTTTAAAAAAGCATTTTTCTCTTATGCAGAGACACATTCCCATCAACCAGGCAATTAAACCCCACACGCTAAAGAAGCCTCACAAGAGCCTTGTGCACGGGATTGAAGTGTCATCCATAACAAAAATGAGCTTGTTCATGCTGATCTTTCGGTCTGCACGTGCAAGTTTGCTTCGGGGTTTTATGAAAACCACCGACTTTCCTCTACTGCTCACAAAACCATGAATGCTTTGGGAATAAGAAATAGGTTTCATCTCAGCAGCTCTGTCTGTGGTCCCCACACCAAGAAGCTTAAACATTTTCTTGTCAAGAGTCACATATGGCGGGAGAACAATAGATGCAAACATGTGTGGCAAAAATGATGAGCCAGAGGGAGGAAAAGGTGCTGGGAACTGGATGGAAGACAGAGAGAAGAACATAGGGAGACCACCTGGCAACTGCCACAGCAGGTCCCAGAGTAAGGAATCTCCCAACTGAGAGCACTAGTGCTCCACACACATTTCAGGTCTAATTCCAGTGAGTATGGGACTCCTGACCCTTCAGGCTCCTAAATCCCCACAGACAGCTGATGGAGACACAGGCACTGGCTGAACCCCAGCATGGGGCCCTCCTTAGCAGGTCCACCTCCCCGAATGGGGGAACAGCAGAAAAGTCCACGCAGTGCTGGGCTCCATTCCAGGCTCTGCAGTGCCTCTTCCTCTCACTCGTTTGGCTCTTGAGACTCTGCAACACTCAGAGGACAAGTCTAGGTTGCTTGGACAACTGAAACCACGAGGCACAGAGATTAAAACAAAACCAGTGAAGTGATGTACCATTTGATTTATCAAATAAATCTACTCTTATTAGAATATGTTATTTACTTTTGCCACACACCTTTCCTGCCCCAGCCCAGCTTAGTCATGTTTTTGTCCTAAGATACTTGCATCATGACCCAGATTTAAAAACAAACAGGTTGTGCAGCACCTCTCCTTACCTCCTGTATCTTTACAATCAGGGTATTTTTCCTGTATCATTTATTCCTAATTTTGTGCTCCTACTTGTGTTATGGCAGTCTGAATCAACAACTATCCATCTGCCTTCATATTTTTAATCGATTTGAGGACTCCAACATCCTGTTTGATCACATCCTCTTCTATGTATTATATTTATTATATGTATTGTATGTATTACATGTATTATATGTATCCTCTTCTATGTATTACAATTCAGAGGTAACTTGTCAGTATTCTGCTCTGTAAAAAAGCATTTTTTTAAAGCAACATTTATACAGCAGCTTATAAAATATTCTCAGCAAGCAGCTTCCACTTAACTTTTGGAACCATGGGACATATCAACGCAAAAACTTATTTCTACCCAGGTTTCCTGTGCCTTGTGTTGGCAGCCTCCAACATTTCCACCTCGGTTCCCACCCACAAACCAAACCTTGATGTTTTTCCTGCTGCAGCTCTACCAGTCGAGTCTGTGCCTTTAAACGAAATCTGTGACTTGCCGTGCACTTTGTAAGTCATGTGTAGTTTATCTCCCCAAACCCCTTGAATCTCTAGGAGGAAAATTCGCTGCAGGGAAGCCTCTGGCTCGGTGCTGGGGGGCTGTGCACATCCCAGCTCCCCACAGGCTGCGGAGATGAAGCTCAGCGAGAGGTTTTGGGGTGGGCCAGGTGCTGAATCCAAAATCCCAGTGGTGCGGCCACGGAAGCGCTGTCCTCGCCACTGGGACACAGAGCAGGCACCCTGTGTGCCCTTCCCATGCCGGTGTCCCCGCAGGACAAACCTCGGACTCAAAGGGCGCGGGGAGCAAAGAGCGCCGGGCTGGGGGACGCGGAGTCCCGACCCACGGGAGACCGACGTGCTGCTGCCGCCCCTTCCCGATCCCGCAGCACAAAGGATACAGGGGCCGGGGCCGCTGCCAGCCGCGGGGACAGGTGCCGCAGCAGGGTTTCCAGCCGGGCCGCCGAGCGCTGCCCGAGCCGCTCCCCGAACCGCTCCATGGCGCCCAGGCCGCCTCAGCGCCGTCCCGGCCGGGGCGGAGCCGGGGCCGCCGCATGCTCAGAGCCCGAGCGCCCTCAGAGCCCCGGGTCAGCCGGGAGACGCGGGACGGCGGAGGGAAGGGCCTGAAGGAAACCGGGGCGGACCCGGCACCCTCGGAGCCCGGAGCTCCCCGGGAGCCGCGGTCCCACGGGTGTGAGGGGGCCGTGATGGACCCAGCGCCCTCAGAGCGCCGGGAGCCGCGGGCCGGCATTATCCACGGGCGGGAAAGGCCTGAGGGAGGCCAGGCCAGGCTGGGCGTGCGGACAGCTCGGAATTTTTTCGAACGTATTTCTTTACGTTCGTCTTCCCGCTTCCTCTATTTTTCCCGTTCTCTGGCAGCAGTGACTGCGGATTTCATCATCGCTGTGTGGAGAGCAGTGCTTGGCACAATGCACTGCTGAGGCCGCCGTGGATCGATGCGTTATCTCCTGTCTCTAAGGAGACCGTCAGAGTTCGCCTCATCCCTTCATGAAAATGTTTGGAGAGATTTTTGCGGCCCCACTGTGAAAACACATCTCACACCTGCCAGGTTCTCCATAAAACCCTTGCTCATGAGCAATCTAGGCCCTGCTCCCAAAGAGGCACCATCAAAAGTCTCCTGTAGCTCCAGGCAGTCTCATGATGACAGGGTGTGCAGCAAAACTCTGCTTACAGCTGCTTTAGGAAGCTTAACTCCCATTCTGCAACAGGTTTTGCTGGAATCTGGGGTGACATGTTGGTGGATCAAAAACTCGGCTGTCAATATACTAAGCTTCCTGTTAGTGCTGCAGATGAATAGAAGCCAAGGCATGGGTAGGAAGGGCTCTGGTATTTAACCTCTATTCTGGAAGCTGGATAAAAACTCAGAGGCAAAACTCTCACTGATTTAAGTAAACTACAGCAGGTTTACAAACTGCACTGGTCTGTGCTGCATTTGTTTATGGCTCTTACAGTGTGCTTGGTGGAGTCACTCCCTTCAGGGGCATAATAGAATAGGCTGTTCACAGAAGTGGGACAAACAAGGTTGGGAACCCAGGAAAAAAACCCTCTCTAAACGATTTTGTGTAGTCACAGAGGCAAGAGTACAGGCACTGTGAAGGTACAACAGCAGCAGCAGTGACACCACCCTTCATTGCCAAAAAAATCAGACCTTTGACTCCTGAGCCACAGGAAAACTCCTAGTCATAAGAAAAAAAAAGTTAATGAAAGTCCTTCAAATCAAACTAGTGAGGGGGAACAGAAAAAAAAGCAACTAGAGTAATAGCTTTATTACTGAACTCCTAATTATAACTGCATTGAAAAGCCTATATATAATTCAGATCTATGCTGCAATTGCTTTCACAATCCGAACTGAAACAGGAACCTCAATAAATCTCATCTGTTTCAAAGTTTAGTTAAAATCCCCATTGAAAAGATGAAGCAGAACAACAGTACTCATGCCTATTGTGGCATGGACCTGTTTGCAATATAGGTATTTCTTCCACAGCATCTTATTCAAAGATGTCTTTCATACCTGAAAAAAATTAACAAAAAGTAGGGATTTGGCTGTACTAATTCAGGAGTTCGAGAACTAAGATGCTTTTATACATACATAATACACACTTACATAAATATATATAGAATCATAGAACATCCTGAGTTGGAAGGGACCCACAAGAACCATCAGTCCAACTCCTGGCCCAGCAAAAGACAAGTCCGAGTCCCACCCTGTGCTGAGAATGTCTAAAGGCTTCCTAAACTCTGTCAGGCTCGGTGCTGTGACCACTTCCCTGGGGAGCCTGTCCCAGTGCCCAATCACCCTCTGGATGAAGAACCTTTTCCTAATACATTTATTTTTTAAACAAGAGCCTCAAAAAACCCTAATATCTCTGTGCATTAAATAACGTTATTAATTTTTACTTACAATCTCTCTGGCAATCTCGATACCAGTAACTCTCATGCCACTGGACCACCCTGTTGTATTTATCACATCCCCAAGAACTCAGGACACCTCGCCCACCTTGGCAGGAGCAGAGATTAGCTGAGTTCATTGCCCTGTGTTTGTACCCTCCTGCTGATGGATCGAACTTTAGCACAACAAAAGATCGATCTCGGCCACTACTGGCAGCACACAGTGACACGGCGGCTGCTTGCGGTGTAGCCACACCCCCTAGAATTAAATGTGTGGACACGTAAAAAAAACAAACAGCCTTCGCATCTAAACAGTCCAGAGTGAATAATTTTCAAATCCATTGATAAGCATCCCCGAAATACAGGCTGAATCTCATGAACCCAGGGAAAGAAACAAGGGAGAAATTTTCTTTGTTAAGGAAACTGATGATGGCATTAATCATTGTATTAAAATGGATGGCATTTAAGAGAGGCTGTGTCTTTGCAAAGTACTTTTACAGCTATGTCTGTCAGTTTCCTGAATTTTATAGAACACTTTTATACAGATGGTTTGCATTTGGCTTTTAGTTTTAATGTTTTCTGTTCATTAAATCACAAAACTAATAAAATCTAAACGATTGAGATTCCTCCAGCAGCACAGGAACATTCCTAATGCAGAGTCTTATAATTTAATAAGCATCTCAATTGACTATTAAAATCCACATTATGATCAGAACTGTAATTCCAAAGATGAGGTCTTCTGAAAGCTTAATTTACTGTGGTGGGAAGTGGCAGCTGCTCCAACTCAGCAAAATTAGCTTTTTTAACTGAGATGCCAGGGAAAACAGATGTTGATGAGACAATAACAAGAACAACAAAATCCACCACCAACACACAGGTTCATTTCTCACCACCAGAGGAGTCAAGAAGGGCTTCTATGGATACATAGAAGGGAGGAGGAGGGAAAGGGAGATAAGGATTAATCAGAGAACAAAATAATGGGCATAGTGACAGAAGACATGGAAAGGGTCAAGGCTCTCGATGACTTCTCTGCCTCAGGCTTTGCTTTAGATCCTGGCGTCTGCTGAATTCCAAGCTTTGGGCAACCTTTATCCTAAGGAGCTACTGCCAGGCTTCTCTCCAGCTGTCTGAAACTCCTCAGCTGAGGGTGCCCACCCATTCCTTATTGAAACAAATCCCTTTTGAAATACCAGAGACAGCTGGATCCACCAGTGCTCTGAGCAGAGAGTGTAAAAAACCCCAATTGTGGTTGGCCCTTGCGGTGCCAGCCAACCTCAGCAGCCAGTGAGCCAGAAAGGAAAAGTCTCCCTTATGGACATGTTGCTCCTATCATTGTCCACAGCTCCCAAAAGGGATCCCATTTTCCCTCCTGATCACCCAGCTGGGAAAAACACCTACCAAGGGTTGAACAAGAGGGTATTTTATTACCTTTCCCCTTCTCAAGCGCCAGTCACAGGGGTTGCAATCACACCTCGTGGTCAGAAAGCAGGATGTGAACTCAGGTGACTCTTCCCAACTGTTCACCTGACTTCCAGTTAAAAAGTCAGTGAAGCTCTAAATATCAGCCACCGGGCCCACCCACTCCCCCATGATCACTCAGGTTTGCTGCTCTCTCACTGCAACAGTCGTATTAATTTTCATTATCTCCTTATTAGAAAAGGTTCAATCCTGAATTTAGAGCAGAACATGAAATTAAAATAATACCTAACAAAAAGGACCAAACTATTCTGGCTTTATAAACTGCCAGAGATTTTAAGAGTGTTGTTTCTCCCTGATGCAGGGGGGAAAGCAAAACACTAAGGAAGACAACAGGCTAAAGAGCAATAACTGTTACAAGCTTTCCAGAAATATATGCTACTTCTCAAATGTGTTGATTAGCCTAGTGAATATTTCGATTATTAAATGCTTTCTTTTCAAATAAAGATTTTTTTTCTCCACTCTTTTCACAACTTGGAGTTTTACAAGCAGGAATGGGAGCTGGTGCATACGGAGTTTCCTGTGTATGTGAACAAAATACATTATGTTTGTATAAATGACTGGACACGGCTACTAAAAACAACTGTTCACTGTTGTTTTCTCACAGCTTTTTGACACCAGCATCTCAAAAACCCCTTCATTTAAGGGGAATCTCTGTCTTGCTTAATGGTGAAAGATTTAGGACTTGCTAGTCCCTTAGAATACATCCTCCTGCAGCTCACTGGGATCTACAATCTCTGATTTAGCAAAACAAATCATAAAATTTCGTAAACAAAGGTGATGCACACAGAGAAACCAAGTTATCACCCATTCAGCAGCGCACCGGGAAGCACTTTGGGATGTAAATTCCAGCCATCAGGAAGCATTGGGAGAGGTTTTTAAATCGGCTCACCCGAGAGGTTTTCCTCGTAGCTGCCTCCAGTGGCCGCGACAGGAAATCTTCCTCCGAAAGTCCAGAATAAGCAGCGTCCTTCAGACACCTTCCCTTGGAGATGAACCTTCTGCCATTCGGGGCACGTCTAGGGAAGGACAAGCGTTGGTTTCACACCCGGCTGATGAACCCTTTATCAGAACAAGTGAGAAAACCCAACAGCACCGACCGACAAGGACCTTCCTTTGCCGGAGGGGAATTCACACACATCCGGTACCACTTTTAACTACAACAAACCTTTGTAACAAGCACTCCAACGCAGAACTCAACTGTTCTGCGCCCATTTGATCTACTTAGGGTTACTTAAAACTAAAATAATCTATATAGATAGAGTCTTGCCCACGACCATAGAGGAAATGAAGAGAACAAACATCACAAAACAGCAGGGAAAAAAATAATTAAATCAGTATTTTTTGCACAACTGGTTTTTGATACTTTATTTTCAGAACTGCCATGAAAAACCTAAAAGCTTTTTATTTTCTTTTCCCTCAAAGCAAAGTCAAAAACTTGGTTACTGTTCTGAGGTTTTGTGGTGAACCCACAACTCTCAGACTTCTTTTCCAGGAAAAGGAGCATGAGGGACTGTGTGGTTTAAACTACTCAGAAGGGGGGAATTAAAAAAACCAAAAAACATTCTAGCTTTGCAAAAGGTGTCTGTTGAAAACACTATTGAGTGGAAAAAAGATG